TGCATTGGATCAAGAGAGCAGCTGCTAAAATACCATTATATAGCAGCAAACAGATATTTGAAGCTGCTGGTGCCTCTGGAGTCCAGCGGACATCAAGGTGTAGAGTCCTCCAGAGTCTTGCAACTGTGCATAAACCTTCCATTCGGCCACCAATAACCAATGCTCACAAGCAGAAACGGCTGCATTGGGTAGAAAAATACATGAAGACTAATTTTCAAACAGTCCTGTTCACTGATGAGTGCCGTGCAACCCTGGATGCTCCAGATGGAGTAGTGGACGGCCACCCTGTTCCAACAAGGCTGCGATGCCAGCAAGGCAGTGGTGGAGTCATGTTTTGGGCCGGAATCATGGGAACAGAGCTGGTCGGCCCCTTTAGGGTCCCTGAAGGTGTAAAGATGACCTCTGCAAAGTATTTGGAGTTTATGACTGACCACTTTCTTCCCTGGTACAGAAGGAAGAACTTTGCTTTCCGTAATAAAATCATCTTCATGCATGACAATGCACCATCTCATGCTGCAAAGAATACCTCTGCATCAATGGCTGCTATGGGGATAAAAGGAGAGAAAGTCATGGTGTGGCCTCCATCCTCCCCTGACCTCAATCCTATTGAGAACCTTTGGCGCATCCTCAAGCAAAAGATCTATGAGGGTGGGAGGCAGTTTACATCCAAACAGCAGCTACGGGAGGCTATTCTGACATCTTGCAAACAAATTCAAGCAGAAACTGTCCAAAAACTCACAAGTTCAATGGATGCAAGACTTGTGAAGCTGCTATCAAATAAGGGGTCCTATGTTACAATGTAACGTGACCTGTTAAAATGTTTAAAAAGTTAAAATGTTGTTAAAAGTTTGATTGAAATAGCTTTTGATTTCAGTAAATATGCTGCAAACACAACAAATGACAATTTTCTGTTCTTTACAACCTATAAAGTGTTTTGAAACTTACTGTGCGTAATAATTTGGAACAGTGCATTGTAAGTTTTTTATGTTTAAAAAAATACTGTTATCATTAGGAGGTTTGTTCAATAAAATTTGAATTGTACTCTTAATAGTTGATAACATGAGAATTATGCTGTTATTTACATCAATTATTTAGGTAAATGAGAAAAATATAATTTGCATAATAATTTGGAACAGGGTGTAATGTTAAACAGCACACAGTTAACCTTTTGATCACCCCAGATGTTAGCCCCTTCCTGACCAGTGTCACTAGTACAGTGTCTGTGCTTTTTATTAGCACTGATCACTGTATTAGTGTCATTGGGGTGGCAGTTAATCAGTTCCCACCCAATGTCAGAATGCCCGCAGCAGTCATGCTGTAAGTGGCTGATAGCCAACAAAACTAATATAAAAAAAAAATTCCATATATATATATATATATATATATATATATATATATATATATATATATATATATATATAAAAAACGCCAGTTGTAGACACTATAACCTTTACGTCAACCAATTAATTTACATGTATTGGGATTTATTTCTAGCAAAGACATGTAGCAGAATACATTTTGGCCTACATTCATGAAGAAATCTGATTTTTTTTTTATTTTTTTACTGGATATTTTTTATAGCAAAAAGTCAAAAATATTTTTTTTAGTTTATAGCACAAAAAATAAACTGCAGAGGTGATCAAATACCACTGAAAGAAAGCTCTATTTGTGGGGAAAAAAAGGATATAAAAATTTAATTTATGTAAAACGTTGCATGAGCGTGCAATTGTCAGTCAAAGTAACATAGCGCCTTATCAAAAAAAATGGCCTGGTCAGGAAGGGAGGTAAATCCTCTGGAGGGCAAGTGGTTAAAGGAAGATGTGGACTGAAATATTGACCTGGGTCAAGGCATTTGCTCGCAGGATACCAATGCCATCTAGTGGAGGACAGCAGCATACCTCCTGTAGGTTGTACTAGGGCAATACCATACCTCTTGGTGATTAGGAAGGACAGCCCCTTATTGCTTACGGATTGTAGATCATTGAACAGAGGACTACGCAGCGACAGGCAGAGGGTGTTTGTGTGGGTTGTGTCTGTGAGTGGTTTAAAAATGTGATGGCCAGCGACAAATAGCCTCTTTTTCCTTGAGCACAGGTAGGATACAGAACACTGAAGATGGACTTACGTAATGCATAATCTCTGCTCTTTTATTTCTATATGCTCTGTACTATTCTTTTAGATATCCATGTTACTATTTTACTTTCTTTGTAAATAAAAATGACCTTTTCTTTTTTGAGCATTGTGTTTATTTTATATGTAATATTGTCATTATATTATCACCATTAATATTATCAGAGCTCTAATGAACTAGCTAATTATAGGAACAGACAAGATAGTACATATTTATTATTTAAGTGGGGAGGGAAGCCTAAACCACCTCCTATTTATTTCATTTGGCACCACAGATGGGACCCAAACGCTCAAATGAAAAAACAAATGTTACACCCTACAACACACTTTATCTGTCCATGAACAGGGAATTTTTTCCAAGATTTTGCGGGTCTCTTTGTACAAAACGGGGCATGCTGAGACAGAGGCGAGTCAAGTTGCACAATGCCAAGACTGTTGCAGTAAAAGGCAATGAGCTTTTCATTGCTAGCAAGCAAGTTGTATGGAACTCCCTCTTCAACATAACAGTCTGGAGAAGAAAAATTGTTCAAAACTTCCTTCAATACTGTCTCAATATCCTCTTCATTCCCTTCTGTTTCTGCATTCTCAAGGACCAGCATATCAGAATCTGACTCAGGTTGAGAAACTGAAGTAGGGGAAGAGGCAGGGTTTTTCTACGCACTGGATATAGATGGCTCTATTAAGACCATAATTTGAGAAATTGTGATACAGATGCAGGGAATTCTACTTTTGTCAGGTGCATGTGTCATGCCCTAAGTGGGGTACATACTATGAGAAAATCGGAAGCAAAATTCTGTACGAGAAACGATCATTCAATTTTTATATAGCGTGTACACAACTTTCAACATGCGATTCAGACTTTTAAAATGAAAATTTCCGAAGCGACAAACTACAAAATTTTCCTCAAACATTAACAGAACTAATGATTTTTGTTTAATGTGGACTGTTTCCGTACAAGAAAAAAACAGATACGAAACACTGTGCACGAGGAGAAGCATTAAACCATAATCTACGATACAAAAAACTTTTCTATGTGAAATGCAAGAAAAAAAAAAAATAGTTTGTCATTCAAGAATTTTCATACAATTCATGCCATCCTCAAGCTTGACTTGCTATGAAACATTAAGGAAAACTGGACAACTGTTCACCCAATTTTCTTATAATGTGTAGCCAGCTTTAGAACCGGGTCTTACTCCTGTGCAATAGACGCATTGTCGCTCTGAGGTTAAGTAAAGTGTGGGCCTTTGGAAGAGTAAATGTTCGCCTGAACTGGCTTCCTTTCACCTGACTCTCCCATAGCTACAAGTGAGGGTATTCCCCTGAGGGGTATTTATGGAGCAGAGTGAAAGAAATAGGGCAAGGGCGTCTGGAAGGAGAACGTGGTAACCCAGGTGTAGACCATCCTCTAACGAATCACCTTGGTGAAAGGTCAGGAGGAAGCATCTGAGTACTTTATAAGGGCTCCAGGTGGAAGTGGCAATAAAATGCGCAACCAGTGGTGTGATCTAACACATTGTTATCCACCTAAGACTGAGCTCTGAGTGGTTTAAATTTTAGTGCCAAATTTGGAAACTTTGCACTGTGAAGTGAATACACTCCAAACGTAGACGCATTTTTACAGTAACAGTCAGATACAGGGTGACCCTGTATGCCAGACTGTATATAAAGTCCATGCTTCGTCCTTCATTGTGGCTTCAGAGCCGGATTCCATAGCAATGGACCACAGTTCCGAACCTGTACAGAACACTGCAACTAATTCTACGCACTTCACCAAGTGCCAAGGTGTGCACCCCATACAGGATCCAGTGCCTGAAGCAACTTTACAGACCATCCTCACAGGTATGGCTCCCAAGGATTTACCCTAGGGTGCACTGGTCCAGATAAGCTACTCCAATGTAGGCATTAAAAAGACAAAAGTGCTGACTGAAAAATTCTAAGAAAACTGAAATGAAAAATAATAAAACTTCTGAATCTGATTTCTTTGCATTTGAGACAAGGTCCATCACCTTCACACTCTAGCACAAAACAAAGAAATGGGGTGGGGTAACAGGGGAGGTGCCCCAGGGGGCGTGACCTCTAAAGCTTGCCAGTGTCTAATCACGTGAAGGCGTGTACCTATAATCCATGTTCTATGAATATGTTGCCTGTGTCCTGTACTGCGATTAAGATATTATATTATTTCATCTAAACTAGGCTAACCTAGTATATGAGTGGGTAGAGCCACCAGGAAGAATTGTGACTTTTTCATTTGCCCACTGTAAAACCTTGAAAACAGCAGAACATATAATCCAGAGGTCTGCTGCTGCGTCCCCAAGAGAGGGCTGGGAGAAAACTAGCTGGCATTGTTAAAAAAAAAACAACGGTTCCTCTTTTTCTTCCAGTCAGCTATAATGTCCCAATCAATGCCTTCTATATGGCAGATGTCAGCTGTCTATGCTGTTTAGGTCAATGGCTCTCTCATAAAGTAACTTTACAACCTACATAAATCTGCTGCAGGTCAGGATGGCTCATTAGATACACTACACTGATGTTGTGTGATTTTCCTGCACCGCATTTGCGGCACAGCTTACCCATGCGTGTGGAGTGCGTTAGCTGCACTTTCCTATAGAGTTATTTTGTGACCCGCAGTTTTGGTGTGCTTTCTGAAAGTGCACCAAAGATGCACGTGGGACACAATATAACAATACGGGAAATCACCACTAATGCGCTCCACATAGGTGGGTAAGCTATGCTGCACCGCAGCAGTGTGCAAAGGCTCTTAGATGTCAATGGCAAGTTCTAGATAGGTAGCTTGAAATGCTCCATTGGAGTACTAGGGTTTTTGTTTCTGAACACAGATCAAGTTCCACACTAAAAATATAAATACTTACACCTTTGCATTGTGTTCTTCTGTTGCTGGATCTTGGCAGCTTCAACAGCAGACTGAGCGGCAATTTGTGCAGGTGTCAGGGTGCTTGTCTGAGCAGGGTGCTGCCACATAATCACACAAAATTAGTTTAACAGAAGTTTATATCAATATACTGACAAACATCATACTAATTGAAGCATACCCACACAGGTCTGGGTTTTGCAAAACATACCATGTATGGAGCTGGAACTTGAGAGATCTGATGGGTAGGGGCAGATGGCATCTGTGACTGTACAACAGGATGCTGTGGCTGAGGGACAGTTTGCTTGGGGGGAACCCCTGGGGCACTGGCTGCTCCACCCACTGTAAAAAGAAAATATAAAAATGTAATTTTATATACTATCAAAATAAGTAACTCAGAGTTAGTTACAAAGTTTTAACAGCTAAAGATGAAATATTACATATAACATATATAACATGTTTAACATAATTTTGCTCACATTTATACAAGTATTAAAAAATAAATGCCCAGACCAGTTAGCCTATCAACTATGCATACACCCTCCATCTTAAAACAAGAAACATCTCCTAGCTTAGGTCCCTAAAAGATCATATTGCATATAGCTCAATCTGTAGAACTCGTTTACATTTACATTAACCCTCTGAAAAGTAATCCATGGCATCTAAGGAGGCATTATGCTGTTTCCTGACCACCTTTTTTAACCCGTAAAAGCCCTCACCACTGTGTTGCAAATGCAGCATGTGTATATCCCCGTACAACTGCCTTTTCAGTTTAGAGGAGCAGTAAAAACGTGACTTAGCCACCTGTTTTTACCACCCGCCAACTGCAAGGGTAAACTAGGCCTTACTTTTAAGAAATATGATACAGTAAACACCTGTATCTCCATTTTGTTTTGAAATATGGGCAGCAGTGGTGTAAGAATCAATAAGAAAGTTCTGGCCAGCTCAGTAGATTTCACAGCTGGATGCATTCCTAAATGCATAAAATATAGCTGGGTATTAAATATTTATAGGTAACACCACCAAAGGTTGCTGATCCAGGGAATATCTGATTGTCGCCTGGGGAATCAGGTAGAATTTTCCCCTGCAGAAGCAAAGGTTTTTTTTGTTGCTGTCCACTGAATCATCTGTGGGCATAGGATTGTGTATACAAAGGTTTTCTTTTTTTGTTTGAACAAGACGGGTTATTTTTCAACCACATTATGTAGCCATGAACAGGTTTAGTTGATATACTCTTTCTTCAAAAGTATACAGCTACATAGTTCAGAAGATTGAAAAAAGACAAGTCCATTCAGTTCAATCAATTTGTGTGTATGTGTGCGATTTTTATTCTCTAACAAGTCCCATAGCCCTGTATATTCTGCAAATTATCGAAAATTAGTGTCGAGACTTTCAGCAAATGCCACATCCTGGGGAAAAGAGTGCCACATTTTACTGGTCTGACAGTAAAGAACCCTTTTTGCAATTCAAGGTTAAACCTCCTTTCTTCTAACAAATCCTGTCCATGTGTTCTCTTCAGATATATTTGTACATCGTAATCATATCCCCTCTCAAACGTCATCTTCTTCAGAGTGTATACATGTAATTTAGGTAATTATTTATTTATTACAGGTACTTATATAGCGCCGTCACTTTACGCAATGTTTTACATATATATTGTACATTCACATCAGTCCCTAACCCTCAAGGGGTGTACAATCTAAGGTCCCTAGCTTATATTCATACATACACATACTAGAGCCAATTTAGACAGGATCCAATTAACCTACCAGCAAGTCTTTGGCGTGTGGGAGGAAACCAAACGCAAGCACGGGGAGAACATGCAAACTCCATGCAGGTGGTGCCGTGGTTGGGATTCGAGCCAGTGACCCTAGTACTGCCAGGCAGGAAGTGCTAACCATTTATCCACTGTGCTGCCCATTAAGCAATGGATCCTCATAGCTGAAGTCCTCCATCTTTTCATGCCCTTCACTGAACTCTAATTCAACAATGTCTTTCCTGGGGGATTAATGACCAAAACTGAACTACATATTCAAGATGAGTTTGAACCAGTGTTTTGAAATGGAGCAGAAATTATCTCTTCAATATATGCCCCTTTCAATGCATGAGAATAGTGTGCTAGCTTTGTTAGCAACAGCATTCAATGTCAAGCTGCAGCTAAGTCTGATCTGCAAGCAGCCCCAGATCCTTTTCCATCACTAATTTTCCCAGGCAAGCCCATCCCTGTGTATTTTTGGCACCAAAGGGCCAAAAAACACATTTACATTTCTCAATATTGAACCTCATCTGCCACATAGCTGCACAGCCCCCTATTTTTTAAGGTCTTCCTGTAATAATGATACATGTCAAAATGTATTCACCTAAATAAATTGGCATTATCAGCAAACACTGAAACTGAGCTCTTAATTGGAACCTATCATTAATAAACAAAGTGAACAGCATTGGCCCCCAACACAAGACCTGCAGCACCTCTTAATCCACCTTAAATGCAAACTAATCTAAAAGTACATTGGTGCATAAATCTAATATTGGGTGAAGCTGAGCATGCTGATGTAGTCACGCTCTGCTTCCTGGAGAAGTGTGAGTTTCTGCTTTCAGTTTTTACTTTGTTCAGCCGGCTGTTATTTGTATGATGTATGGATCAATAAAACGTTAAATATTGCACTATGAGGATTCCTTTTTGTCCCACATTTACTCAAAGTTCACATTGATTTGGCTGTGCAGCATGGTTCCCAGTGCTGGAGCGATTTCTAGTGCATGCAGCATGCCATTAGGATTAATGATACCCGCACACATCTTCTGCATTTTTCCTGAGTGGGTGGTTGCGGCTGCGGGAACAGGTGTGGTCACGGCACACATGTAAACCTAAGTTTAATGGGGAGCGTCCATGTGTGGGAGCAAACATATGCCAGGGTGGTTTGGCTTGTAGAGCGGGTTGTGAAATAAGAGTAGCAATAGTGGTGTGACCCTCCTGCGCTCCAAATGTGTGTTTAAAACAAACTAAATTAATATATGAACCCCAAACAGCTGCTAGCATTAAATCATATACCAGTGATCAAGTAAATATAAACCATATAAATGCTGCGCTACATTCAAACTTATTTAAGTGAATGTGGAATCCAATAACTCAAATCAAAAATAGTGACAATAATAATGAAAATAAATAATATGTGCTTAATGATAACAAAATTACCAAATAAAACCACCCAAACTAATGAAAAAGCACAAACTTAAATCTATACGTATGTGCATGAGAAATACACATACATATATTACATCACACGTGCACAATGTGAAGTGAAATGATGACTAAATAATAAACGCAAACTCAAAGTCCAATAATGAAATGTTGAAGGTGAACAAAACTGTAAACGGTGTTTCCAATAATACTGTAAGGTGACCACAAGTGAAACAAATCGTGCAGATATCTGGGTGTAGATAGAGCTTATGAATCCAACCACCTTCTGGATTAGCCTCTCACCTCATCACTTCGACCCTTGCGGGTCAAAGAGCAGTAATGGATCCCTCTCACAGATCCTCCAGGCACCACAGCACTCCAAAACCACTTTTCAGGATTTAGTATTCCCACTCAGGCTCTTCTCCAAGTATAGTATGTTACCAGGACATAGAAGGTGAATCTCCCCAGGGGAAACACAGATCGCAATAACAATTTCATAGGGAATCTAACCCATGACTTGCTTCCATTGTGAGGATCTTTTAAGAGATCAATAGGAAGGTTTGGAGTTGGGAAAATCCTTCCTATTGATCTCTTAAAAGATCCTCACAATGGAAGCAAGTCATGGGTTAGATTCCCTATGAAATTGTTATTGCGATCTGTGTTTCCCCTGGGGAGATTCACCTTCTATGTCCTGGTAACATACTATACTTGGAGAAGAGCCTGAGTTCACCTTCTATGTCCTGGTAACATACTATACTTGGAGAAGAGCCTGAGTGGGAATACTAAATCCTGAAAAGTGGTTTTGGAGTGCTGTGGTGCCTGGAGGATCTGTGAGAGGGATCCATTACTGCTCTTTGACCCGCAAGGGTCGAAGTGATGAGGTGAGAGGCTAATCCAGAAGGTGGTTGGATTCATAAGCTCTATCTACACCCAGATATCTGCACGATTTGTTTCACTTGTGGTCACCTTACAGTATTATTGGAAACACCGTTTACAGTTTTGTTCACCTTCAACATTTCATTATTGGACTTTGAGTTTGCGTTTATTATTTAGTCATCATTTCACTTCACATTGTGCACGTGTGTGATGTAATATATGTATGTGTATTTCTCATGCACATACGTATAGATTTAAGTTTGTGCTTTTTCATTAGTTTGGGTGGTTTATTTGGTAATTTTGTTATCATTAAGCACATATTATTTATTTTCATTATTATTGTCACTATTTTTGATTTGAGTTATTGGATTCCACATTCACTTAAATAAGTTTGAATGTAGCGCAGCATTTATGTGAAATAAGAGTGCTGCAACAGACTGATATCTGTCAAGAAGGGGAGAAAGGGCTCCTCTCAATGCCTTATGCTCCTTTAAGTTTAGTGAGCATGCTGCCTCTATTAAGTCATGGGACCACCTGGAGGATATTCCTTTAGCACTGAAGTTCTAATACTTGTTTTACACCTGATATGAATTATTATATAAAAGGTGAACAAGACTTGTTTTGTATAATGCACAAAGCACTTAACATGTATGCATTTGATACAGTTCCCCATAAACTATTAATTTACAAATGGATGTCTGGCATGGACTGTAACATATGTACTAGGATAGAAAACTAGTTACAGGGACGAGTCCAATGGGCGGAGATAAATACTGTGTTCTCCAAATGGAACCAATTTAAAACTGGTGCCATCATACAGATGCTTAAACAGCCCCTTAGGGTGCCAGGATGGGGGGGGGGGGGGGTACACATATATGTCTCACAGAAGCGGGTCCTTTTCTGAAAGACCTCATATACATGACATTAGTAATATGAGCCCGAGTCTCATACTACCAATTAGGACTCGGGACTCCCAAATCCCAGTCACCTGATCCCTATTATAGCCAATCAGAGGTAATCACAGCAGTCACTGTACAGCCCGCCCTTTGTGTTTTCTCTTTCTCTCTCTCACTTTCTGTCTCTCGCTCACCTTCCGTCTCTCTCTTGCTCAAGGGCTCCACAAATCACAAAGAAGTCACATCAAATCCACTAACCTGCAATACATTCTGCTCTCCAGGTCTGGATACACAGACACACACAGCTGAACTGGAAGGCTCTCTCCTCTCTGCACAGCTTGTCGCTCAACAACGAAGGGGAGGGTTGTTCCCATTTTTTTTCTGGTGTTGGATTTATTTTACTCAGAACACCAGGGAGGATATCTACTTACAGGAAGTGTAGATAGATGTCAAATTAAGCTCAAATGCTTAATAATGTAGACACCTGATTTCAAACACCAGCTACAGTATGAACACCTAACACATCCTAGCTGTGACACAAAGAGCCAGCTATTATACTAACCTGGAAGGACCATTCCTCGGACTAGTATCATGTGACGAGGATCCTGGCTATAATCCTTTGGCTGGGGCTCCATTATAGTACCCACTGGCATAGCTTTTTCAAAAAGAGTCCTCAAAGCTGGAAGCTTTCGAGGAGAAATTATAGAGAAGTGGATTCCTCTCTGCCAAAAACAAGGATAGTCATGAATACTACAGAGGTTCTGGAAACAAGATAGTTAGTTAGTCTGGCAGAAAAAAAAGACAAAAGTCCATCCAGTTCAACCATAAAACAAAAAACAAATGACAGCCAACAGGATGCTTCTCAATCAAGCCAAACCAATAACATGTTTACCTCCCCAATCTTCTGAACAAGGTTTTCCGTAGTGTAACCAGAATAGGTTGTGCTCTCTACAGCAGGAAGGAGATATGGTGGAGAGTTGCAGATTAATATATACACACTTTGTGTGTTTGCCCACTGCAAAACACAAATGTAGAAAAAAAAATTACAGGTATGAATTAACTTTTCTAAATGCCCAGTTTAGTTTTAGGAATAATCCAGAAAGCAAAAATGTAATATATTGCTGATTACCATGCTGAGATGCTGTTGCAGTGGTTTTCTTTTTAAGACCTTTTTCTTTAATGTTTACCCTGTAATTGTGCAAATAACACATTTCCTATCTTTAGATGGCTACACTCACATACTCCACTATATCGATTGAGGAACAAATGGTTGTCACCCAGGTTTTCCTGATGAGAGAGGGGAATTAGTAATTTACCAAAAGCAGCATAAATAGACGACTTTGGGCAATAACAGATATTTTCTGTATTGCCAAAAAAAAAAAAAACCAAATACATCCACAACATCTTAGGACTAGTAAGCTGCAATATATTACATTTTTGATTCTAGTTTGATATACTTTTAGGTTAAAGTGATATAAAACCACCTGTTTTAAGCACTTTCAGCAGCTAATGTAATCACTTACTGAGTATGCAGCTTCTTTATCTTTGAATCCTTGCCTGTGTTCTGATTTAGGCTGGTGCCATGATCAATGCCCCAGGCTGTTTCAGGGTGGGTCATTTCACTTGCAGCTTCCTATGGTGTCACCCTTGCATGCCAGGGCTAGAACTGGGTCTTTCTACATTACCATGCTAGGCTATGTTTCTGTTGATGCATGAAAAGTACTCCACTGCTCTTAGCATAGCCAAGTGTGGCAAGGTACTCCCCTGATCCTAGAATAGCCTAGCACAGCAAGGTACTCCCCTGCTCCTCCCTCTTTCATTTCACCTCCCTTCTCCAAGCTCCAGCTGGCATATGACTGTACTATCCAATGTTAACTGTCTTTCCTGCAGGAGCAGGGCAGCAGTACTAAGAGTATATGAGCCAGCAGCACTGAACATTGTATACTGCAAGTGCAGGAGTAAGAATTTTAACAAACTCCAGGAAAATTTTTATTTTGCCATGCAGTGGGTCTGTGCCTGCACTGCATGAGTTAACTGCTTGTTTTTGTTTAGGGGATCGCAGAGCAGAGATATACTTATCTAATCCTCCGATCCGCCAAGCACAAGACTGGTACCTGTCACTCCTGTCCCCCCACCCCGCATGCTAGTGGTCTTGTCAATGGACTGTTTCTGGCGTCGTTATGCCCATAGATTGGTTCTGGATATGAAGATGGCAAGAACAGTCCACCGCGGATGTGGGGGAGCACAGTTTTCCATAGGATCGAAGGATTGGGCAAGCATAGCCTTTCGATGCATCTCTAAACAAAACAAGCAGTTAAACTATGCAGTGCAGGCACATCCACTGTATGGGAGGAATAAATGTTTTCATGGAAGTCTTCTTTAACCACTTGCCTACTGGGCACTTAGACCCCCTTCCTGACCAAGGCCAAACTTCGGTTTTCAGCACTGTCGCACTTTGAATGACAATTGCGCAGTCATGCAACACTGTACCCATATGAAATTTTTTATCATTTTTTTTTCACACAAATAGAACTTTCTTTTGGTGGTATTTAATCGCCACTGAATTTTTTTTTTTTTTTGCGCTATAAACAAAAAAAAAAAAAAGTTTTTCTTTGTTTCTATTATAAAATTTTGCAAACAGGTAATTTTTTGCCTTCACTGATGTGTGCGTTGATGAGGCTGCACTGATAGGCAGCACTGATGGACACTGATAGGTGACATTGACTGGCAGCACTGCTGGACACAGGTGGGTGACACTGCTGGGCACAGGTCGGCAGCACTGGTGGGTGGCACAGTTGGGCACTGATCATCAGTGCCCTGATGATCGGTGCCAATCCGTCCTCTGACAATTGCCGGTTATCTGCAGTAATTTTCTCACACCGTGACAGCGTGAAGAAAGTGCAGCCAATAACCGGCAACTGCATTTACTAGTGATCTGCGGTGTCATTGGGCACAGCTGATCACATGGTAAAAGGTCGCTGTGATTGGCCTTTTACCACATTACGTGATCAGCTGTGTCCATAGGACACAATGATCACAGAGATCGCTGGGTGTGTGCCCTGGGCGCATTCTGGAAGGATGTCATGACGCCCTCCCAGAACTGGACAACCGCGCTGTAGTCATCATTCGGGAAGGAAAAAAAAACAAAACGAAAAACTAATGCAGCCACACATATAAGGATTGGTAAGATGCAACATATTACATTTTTGGTTTTGGGATTTACACTGCTTTAAACTGAATTTTTAAATCGTATCTAAATCTTAAAACAAGAATATATTGTAGTTTGCCAGTTCTTGGATGTGATGGCTACATTTGTTTTCGTTATTCATTTTTTGCGTTTTACTTTCACCTTACTGATTGTTTTCTACTCTCATTTCTCCACTGTATCTATAGAAGGAGCCATGGTTGTTACACAGGCTGGACACAACAAAGATAAGGATGCTTCTGCAAACAACTCACAGGCAGTGACAACGACACTACATTTCTGAGAAGATCAGAAGGTATTTTCTGGATTGCTGAAAAATGTCCTTAGCTTGAACAATACAACATTCAGGGACTGGTATACTGCAATATATTACTTTTTTTATGCTTTAATGTTAGGTAAATTATTAAGGGTGAATTAAGGGTTAATGGTTAGTAATGGTTAATCATAATTTCAAAAGCCTAAAGCGAAACCGAAGTGTAACTGAATGCTAAAAACCAAAAACACTATTTGATTCATTTGTATTATTCAAAGCAATCCCTCCATGTCTCCATACTATATTTTGTTGAGAAATTCCTTTGAAAAACATCCTCTTCGCATTCTAGCCACGGTCATCTTGAGTAAAGGTAGAGGATTCCTATTGCATTTATTTCCTGGAATACATGTGCACTTAAACTCAGGCATGAAGGTAGGAGGGTGTGCTTAGCTGAGAAAGCCACTCCCCCTTACCACAGATGAAAGAAAAAAAAAATGCCCATGAAGACTCATGGAATATATGACATCATTTTCCTAGGCCAGAAACCAGGAAGCAACATTCCTACTTTCCTATTTATTGATACTAACATCATAAGGATTATAAATAGTTCATGTTGACAGAGAGTTTAGATCAGATTTAATCTTAATCCTTTCTTCTATATTTGTTTCTTTCAGTAATGAATTCCTAGCAATCCTACCAGCAAAGTGTACCTACAGACACTTTTTTTTGAATGTGACAATACTTTCACAATTGAAGTATCCTCACCCTTTCTTGGCATAGGTCCAAGCAGTCATGCCAACACACAAGGCATTGGAACATTTTGTTGGAGTCACCAAACAAAGAATATATAGAATGTGCACAACGCAGGAAGGGAAACAGGAACACATTGGGGAAAGTTGTATATAAAAAAAAGCGCGATTGTTTTCACAGCTTTGCATTGCGCTAAAGCAAGGTATTGTAGCATGCATCAGTTTGTTGCAACAAGCCTGAATTACAGTGCATTGTAATGCAAGGTAACACACTACTGTGCCTTATGGTGCCCTGCATCAAGAAAATAGGACCAGGACTGTTTTTTTTGGGTGTTAAGGTGCTTTGGCAGCCCATTCAAAATAAATTTAACTGCCTTAACACCTTCCTGCCCAGCCTATTGCAGACTGACGGCCAGGCGGGACACTCCTCCTTGTGACTGGGCGTCATATGATGTCCTGTCAAAAGGAGCCGCTCATGCGGCCACGCAATCTGTCACGCCTATGTCCACGGGACACAGCCAATGACATATCACTACACTTGCTAGTGTCATGTGACCATTGTGACCAATCACAGCAGATCACGTCAATTGTATACAATGGATGACTTCATGTCATGCCATTCATTGTATACAACTGTGTTAGCTGTGATTGGTCAAGCCAATCACAGCCAATCTGTATCATGCGATGACCTTTGCCCAACCACAGCTAATCACAACAAAAGACTGAATGAATCAGTTTCATTCAGTAACAATGATTGCAAATATGAATGAAATACATTGGTATTAACAATCATAATGTGTAAAAAAACAAAATCCTGATCACTTGCCCAGAGTAGTTCAATGTTACTATGGTAAAATTGTATTGCCGATTGTTATTTTTATATATATATATATATTTTGTGTGTGTGTGTGTATATATATATATATATATATTCACACATATACATACACACACACACATATATCCCACACACCCCATGGTTTGTGGAAGCTATAACTTTCCTACAGACTAAACAATATACACTAATTTGGGGTATTTTCACCAAAGAAATGTAGCACAATACACTTTGACCTATATTTATGAAGAAATGTTATTTGCAAAATTTTATATATCGAAATTAAGAAAAATGTGGGTTTTTTTTTTTTCAAAAGTTTCAGGTTTTGTTTATCAAAAAATGAAAAAAAACTCAGTGGCGATTACATACCACCAAAAGAAAGCTCTATTTGTGTGAAAAAAAAAAGATAAAATTTTTTTATGGGTACAGTGTTGCATGACCGCACAATTGTCATTCAAAGTGCGACAACTCTGAAACCTGAAAATTGGCCTGGGCAGGAAGGGGGTAAAGGTGCCCGGTATTGAAGTGGTTAAAGCAATGCAACAGAATGTGCGGCATAATGCATTTTATCGTGCACTGGATTAATGCACTGCACAGGTATAAAGGGGCCCAGTTAGATTAAGTTTTAGTTTTTAGACGAGGGAAGAGTTAAGTGAGTAAGCTTAAAGAATGGGTTAGAATTAAGAGTGAGTGATACAGAGATATACACGATTTAAAAATGTTTAAAATGCTGAAAGCTTTACGTCAAGCACGCCTGGTGTTTGCAAGAGCTTTTTTGCAAACTTCAAGCAGGCTTTCAAGTGTTTTGCATTGAGGACAGGCTCAAATTCTGAAATTGTGTCCCATCTCCACACAGGATCTCTTGAGTTCAGGAGTGGCCATCAGGTTCTTGGTTACCTCTCTTGCTAAGGCCTTTCTCCCCCGAATGCTCAGTTTGGTCCGGCAACCAGCTCTTGGTGGAGTTCTGGTTGTG